ATTTTGCAACACAGTCAAAACCTGACACTGAGTATTTCTCCTAACCATCAGGGAAAAGGGTTTGTGGCATTTCCTGAAAAATAAACCAAAGACAGTGACTCTGGAGTTGGAACACAGTCCCAAAAGTGACCCATAACTCCAAATAGGGGTTGAAAGCCTGTTTCTGGAAAGTCACCCACAGCTCTCCAGGTATCTGTCAGGCCTTGAGAGCCACAGGGACTGCCAAGTTGGTCCCAGTCAGCCAAGGCCATGCTCTCAGAGCTGGCACTCCCACACTGTGGCGTACAGCTGCTGCAAGCGCCATACTGACTGGGTTCCAGGGGACAAGTGACTCCCTCTTCCAGGAGAGACTTGGCATCAGGCAAGAGGGCTGGAATTTCCCCCAGGTTCTTAAAATGGCCAGGTAAACCAGCTGTGCAGAAGCCCCTTGACTTTTCCCTGTTCCTCCTGGGTACCTCAACACTGAATCAGGAATAGTTTGGCTTTGAAAGGACCTTAAATCTCATCTTTTTCCAAACCCCTGCCATGGGCAGGGACACCTTCCACTAGCCCAGGTTGCTCCAAGCCCCGTCCAACCTGGTCTTGGACACTCACAGGGGTGAGGCAGCCACAGCTTCTCTGGACAATCTGTGTCAGGGCCTTCCTACCCTCACAGGGAACAATTTGTTCCCAATATCCCATCTAACCCTTCCCTCTGGCAGTGCAAAGCCATTCCCCCTTGTCCTCTCACTCCATGCCTTGTCCAAAGTCCCTCTCCAGCTCTCTTGGAGCACCTTTAGGTGCTGGAAAGGGTTCTAAGATCTCTCTGGAGCTTTCTCCTTTCCTGCCACCCAACCTTTCTCCACAGATGGGATATGGAGCCCTCTGACCAGCTTTGAGGTTCTCCTCAGGACTGACTGTAACAGACCCATGTGTGGTTTCCACTGGGGACCCCAGAACTGGACCCAGGTGCTCCCCGTCGGGTCTCACCAGAGCAGTATCACCTCCCCTGAGCTGCTGCCCACACTGCTTTGGTTGCAGCCCAGGAGACACCTGCCTTTCTGGGCTGCAGTTGCGCAGTGACAGCTTGTGTCCAGTTTGTCACCCACCCCTGAGTCCTCCTCCACAGGGTTGCTCTCAGTCCGTTCACCACCCAACATCGCTGTCTCTTGAGATGGGCACCCTTGCCAGTTGAATGCCAATCTCAGTCTTGTGTCCCACCCTGGACTGTTGACAGAGGAGCAGGGAAGATGATCTGGGAAAATGGATTCCCATCAGGCTACTCTTCCTGGCTTCACCTTCACGTGACATGTGGGGCTGGGACAGGACAAAAAATTGAGCCCAGCTTTTGTCATTGACCATGCTGACATGCTTGTCATGGGCAAAAGCTCCAGCCTTCTCCAAGCCACAAAACAGCAATTGCCATTTCTAGAGGGAAAGAAGTCAACTCTCTAGAGAAGTCCAAACTCCTGATGGGTGTATATTGCCCAGGGAGTCCCTGGTGGTCTAGTGGTTAAGGACGCGGCGCTGTCACTGCCGAGGCCCGGGTTTGATTCCTGGTCAGGGCCACTCCCCAGGCAGATGGAGCTCGTTAGCCCTGTAAGGCAATCCATCTACATCCTGAGGACCTCGCTGCCACCATCCAAGCTCGCTTGGCCCCGGCAGATGAACCTCAGGATTAAAGGGTGGGCTCAGTTCTGCGCACACTGTGTCTCACCTAAAAAATCCAATGCGCAGGCTGGAAGGTGGAAAGACCTTCCTTGTTTCTTTGTTTGCGAAGACTGGCCATTACATTACATATATTTTCCTCTACCCTTAGCCTGCCCCTATCTGTATACACAATTGTTTCCTTTATTTCTTCTTCCTTTCTGTTTTCAGTGCTTTTTCTCCTCAGTCTCTCAAGGCGAGCTGGGTCTTCGTTACACAACTGGCAGTCTGGTGAGACCTGGGAATAACAGCATTAGCTCCAAAAGCCTCTACTGCAGGACATGGGCACTTTTACGGAAATAACTCATCCAAAGAGTCGGGTGACATGCCTGTGCTGGTGTGATGCCTTGATCACAACTTTCCCTCTACCTGGTTGATGTTTTCCACATGCACACACACAACCAGAGCTCAGCTCCAGCCTCCATTCAGCTGCACTGGCTCCAGGATGAGCTCACTGTGACAAAGCCAAGCCCTCTCCCACACAACCGTGTCAGCTCCAACTTTATCCCAGCCCAGCTATAACAAACGTCCTCTCCTTAGCACACAACCAGAACTCCAGTCCAGCCTTGTCTCAACCACAAACCACAGTGCACACGTGGGCTTTGCAGTAATGAGGGAGATGTGGAAATAAACAGTATTATTTTACCTTCTGTTTTACTTGGTGTTGTTCTTTCTCTGGGGTTCTTTTGCGTTTATGAGTCACCAGTGACCTGTGGTTGGGCAGAGGTTGTGTTAATATGTATTTCTTCATCAGTCATGTAATTTTTAGCAGCATCCTCTTTTGGAAAACAGAAAAGTGGGGATGTGTAGTGTTGCAATGCAACGAATTTTGGATGTGTAACAATAATTCAGGTCATTTCATGAAGATAGGCACTACAGAAGGGTTGGTGTTTTCTGGATAACAGGGACAAAGTCTGAGGGACACCATATTAGCTCTATCCTTTCTGGTAAAGAATTTCCATCGTTGCTAAGAATTGGCCCTTGCTGATCAGTCTCAGCTTAGTCAGCCAGATGTAAATAAATGTGCCTTTTCTAACACAAAATTTGACAAAGTAGCTCTCTGATAGATGTTCAGGGAGGAAGTTGAATGCACCACAAAGTTTGTCCCTCCTGGACTCCAAAAGGAAGGTCTTTTGCAGCTGGAAGCCATACAGAATACTTTGTCCTTTCTTTCCAAGGCTTACCTTGATGGCAGCAGCTTGGAGGCCTATTGGGTCTTTTGGAGATAAAGGTCTGAGCCTTCAGCTCAGGTGGCCTAGAGGACACATAACCAATCTGCTGTGCTTCTGCCATGGGGTATTTCCAAAGCAAGTTGTGTGTTGGAAGAGTTTCTTCTCCATAGGCTGGAGCAGCAGATCTTGGCCACAGGAGACAAAGCCGCCAAAGGAGCAGCCACAAGATGGGTGGGTGCACAGCAGGAGAATGGAATCCATCCCGGAGAAAGGTAGGATTTGATAGCACCAAAAGGAGGTGCTAGAAGCAGCTCTGTAGGTGGCTGGTGACATTCCAAATGACTAGTGACATCTGGAAATCTAGGAGGTTAATGGAGGACAAGAGGCAAACACTGCAATCCAAGTGTCTTCCTTCGCCCCTGGATTTGCTCCAGTGTCATCTGGGAGAGCAAGGGGAAGAGATGTGGAGTGAAAACCACCCATTACATCAGCACAGTGTGCACTGGGATGCAGGTGAGATTTGAGAAGGCAGACAGGAGTAGTGGGTGGTCCATGTAAAAAGGTTTGGGAGTCATGTGCAGAAGGCAGGATAGTTTGGGCTCTTCCAGTAACTGTTCTTCTGTTGTTTGAATAGATCCTTTATGTTTTGCAAGCTTTCTTCTTCATCTTTCCCCTTCATCTGTTGTGTGGCAAAAATACATTACCCTGTATGAATAGCACTGTAACTGCTTAGCTTGTGGAGTCAAGATATCCAAAGATTTTCACCACTATGTGCCCAGATATCTTTGATGCTTCAGAGTCACTGCAATTTCTAGGTTCTCTCAAGATATCTGTTAGGAGAGGCATTTTGGAACAAATCAGCAAAAAGTTGTGGAAGAACGTGTGGGACAGCTTTCTCAAGTATGGAAGAACTAATGCCTTTTCTTACAGATGGGAATGTTGCTAAGGCTACCCTGAGTGAGAAAAGGATTGGTGAGACCCGCAGGAAGCTGGGGGAGGATTTCAGTGGCATCTACCAGTCTCAGCAGAGGATGACCTTGGAAGGCCACAGCTTGCTGGAGTAAATATGGACAGCAGATCTTTTTTAAAAGGGAAGAATCTGAGGTGGGAGAAAGTCAGTCCCCTCCACAGCTGCAGTGTGTTTGGAGACACTCTGGACACAAGTACTGCCCTTCTGGGAAAGCAGGGGATGAAGGAATGAGAAATAGGAACTATCCATGCTGAGGGAACTGCTACAGATGATGTGGAATAACCAGTGTCTATGAGTGCCTCTCTCTCAGGCTCAAGCAGGGCATGCTTCCGGTGCCACAGTGGGGGCGGTCATTGCCTGAGGGTCTCCAGCAGCCCCCTTTTCTGGGTCACCTTGTAGAACCATATCGTCTCTCCAAGGAAGGTTGGTGCTCTTGAGAGCAAACCTGGGAGCTGGGCCTCCAACAGCACTCTTGTAGCTTGTGTTGGGTGGGCATGGTGGGTTAACCAGTCCCAGCAGTTGTCTAGAGGGCTGGTGTGGTCTCAGACTGTGTGTCAAAGTCAGTCTGAAGCTGATCCTCCACCTTGCAGCAAAGATGGGGACCCTGAAGCTAGGACAGCATCACCTTCATCAACCAAACCATGCCCCGGTGGTCCTGGCTGCAGGGAGACAGGTCAGGAGCAACACAATTGGATGGAGAGGGTTTGCAGAGGAAGGGGGAGGGGTGACTCCTAATCTCCATATTTCTTCCCTGGTTCATCCCAAAAATTTACTAAAGGTGCAGTGTGATGCTTCCTTCTTGCTGCAGGGCACTTAACTAGTTGACAGTATGTCACTGTGCAGGTCACTGCCATTGGCTTGCTTTCTTATTCTGTGCAAGGAGCCAGAATCATGTGTAGGAATCATTTCCTGCCTTTCAACTCCTCTGCCATTGCCAAGAGCATACAAGAGAGCAGGAAGGCACTCGGTACTTTGAGCCAAAGGGCCGTGGACACCACAGCAGCAGTTACTGGCAAACTCACAAAACCCAGGGCTGGATCCAGCAGGGACTTTCTGAGATTAGTTCTGGGCAAGGCAGGGGGTGGGCAACACAAAGAAAATAGCCCCTCCTGCAGTGTTTCAGCCCTGAGGGGAATTCAAATGTCACAACTTGGGAATTTTCCATCTGAAGCCCCTTGTAAAATGCAAAGCGCCTTGCCGTGCTCTGACTCCTGCCAACGGAAGGGTTCAGTGCCAAAGTGAAAGGCTTCCTAAAAATGGGCTGATCTCGGGAGGGGGGAGATTTAGGAGCTATTGAGAAACAAGGAAAGACAAACAGCGTTAGGTCATTGTTTCTGCAAACACAGCCAAGGCTGTTTCTCTATAAAAGAGAGAGAAAGCAGTTCCAGAGCCATTACAGACTTAGAGGGGACAGTCTGTGACCAAGGCTGCTGCTCCCCCTCCTCAGCACCCGACTTCTGCTCAAGTATGAAACTCGTACTCTCCACCGTGCTGTCCTTCGGGATAGTGGGTAAGTGTCTGCCGAAAGCAGTGCTTGGGGAAAGGAAGTCAAAATCATCTCGGACCCGGGCTTCTCCCTAGACAAGGCTTCTTTAGAATTGCAGCACGTACGAGACCCAGGCAGCTGTTAGGTAAAAGCCAGGACATAAAGCAGTGTTTGCTTTGGATACTGTGGATCTGTAAACGAGGATAGTATTTTGAGTGTTAATGACAGCAGCTTTCTCCTCGGACAGCCCGTGGGGGCTGTAGGGAGGGTTGCAACTCCCCGCAGCGAGCTACCAGGCAAAGAGGAGGGATGATCGACACCCACCACGGCGGAGGGGACTCCTCGGGAGAGGCTCCGCACTCCTGGTGTCACAGGGAGAAGGGAAGAATCCTCCTCCAGCCAACTGCCGTGCCGGAAGAGGAGCACGGGTTCAGCCATGGGGGAGAAAATACTGCAAGACCCAACAAGGCTGCACGTGTGCTGGGTTAAACCTGAAGATAGTGACACTAAATTTGAGCTTAAATAATGAAAGAATCCCTGTGCTTTCCCCTCTGCTCCTACGGGACTGTCCTTCTGCTGTGGCTGCACTTTGGTTCCTGTGTGTTTTGTGCCAAAATTGTGCTGATGCAAGGCTGACTCTGCTTGGAGTGATTCTGTCCTCTCTCTGCTCACATCTCTGGCAGGCAGTGTGCAGGTAGCCACAAGCAAGGAGGCTACTGCTGTCTACACCTGACCTGTAAAATGAAATAGGGATCTCCTTCTGGGAGTAAGCAGCAGGTCTCTTCTGACCCCCTGTAAAGTGTGGTGGGGATCAATGTCCTCTGGTGGAAATTGCTCCCCGTGCCACTGGCACTGGAAAGTCTTTGAGTGCCTTTTCTGAGTAGTAGCACACAAGGTTGTTTTGTAATGGACCCTCTTCCTTCCCTGAATGGAAGGAGACAAGAGGTGGCTCAGGAGCCCTGAAACAGTGGCTAAGGTACTCAGGCTCCCATTACTCTCCCAATGTGATCAGCCCAGCTGGGCTGACTCCCTCAGGAGGTCCCCATCCAGCCTCTGCCTTGGGCAGGATGGTTGCCAACATTAGATTAAGGTGACCCTGGCCAAGACTTGAAAAAAATAAATGATGGCAGCAGGAATTAAGGTTAAGGATTGGTGACCAAATTCAGCACCTCCACTGGGAGAAGGGGAGCTATCTGCTGGCAGGGTTATGGCTCAAAAATCAAGTACAAAGATGAAATTTCAGAAGTGAAAGATAAAAGGGAAAGGGCATGGGTTAATCTGAGATGTTTGAATGAAATGTGCCGTCGGGGGTTTGGAGGGAGTGCACTGCGCTCTTCGAATCTCTTGATCTGCACAGCCCTGCTGGGAAGGGGCAGAGTTAAAGTCAGCACAGTCTGGCCACGTCCTTGAACTACAAGTTTCTAGCATTTCTGGGATTCAGGTTGCTGGAGAAGGTGTGAGTCTTGTGTCCACCTGAGGTCTTTGCTGTGCTCAGCTCTCCCAGAATAGCCACTCAGCTGTATTTATTCGTTGGGGGACTTGTAGAAGGACTGTGGTGGTGCTGTGGCATCTCTGTTTGTGGATGCAGTGGGGGAGGTGAAATATAAAGAGGCAGGTAAATATATCAGATCATTCAGCTACCAAGGGGGTGAGAGTGGCAGTGTTCTGCACACAGCCTGGCCAGGTCAGAGTTGCTCTCCCTCTGAGGTTATTTGCAAAAACACTGTTTCAGTGTCTGCCTTTGCTCTCCATTTTTGCAAAGGCTTAAGCTTAATTTCTTCTACTTGTGTGGATTTGTTCTCCTCAAGCAGATGTTGCTGTGAACCCAGGCTGTTTGAATCACAATTGTCCAGGGACAGGAATGATCCTCTCAGACATTCCTGATGGTGCATACATAAGGCAAGGAAGAAAGAAAGGACCTTCCTGCATGACTTAGAAGGTGTGCGAGGGAAATCCTACACCTCGCCATCACCCAAGGCCGTGACAGCAGGGAACCAGAAACCTTGTATTCACAGAGATACTGTTTCTCTCCGATCAGCACCTTTCCACCTCTCTCAGACTACTTATTTCTGGTTCTTCCTACAGCTCTGTGTTTTGCTGCTCCCCCGAAGACAAACATCAAGTGGTGCACAATATCTTCAGCAGAAGAGAACAAATGCAATATCCTGAGGGACCACATGCAACAAGACAACTTTGCATTGAGTTGTCTGCAGAAAGCAACATACCTCGACTGTATAAAAGCCATCTCGGTGAGTGGGCTGCAAATAGCTGTGCTGGACACTGAGGATGTTTCAGCAGCCTGTTACACCCAGAGATGGAGTACTATTTCAGTCACTGGTTGTTACCTGTGATCCCCCTGTAGAAAAGGAGTCATCCACAAGGATCCAGGTGAGACTCTGGGAAGCATTTTTCCTGCTCTTGGTTAATTGATGAAATCTCTTTGTTGTTTAGAATAACGAAGCAGATGCCATTAGCTTGGATGGAGGTCAAGTTTTTGAGGCAGGCCTTGCCCCCTACAAGCTGAAGCCCATTGCTGCCGAGGTCTATGAACACAGTGAAGGTACATTTTCATGCAATGTTTTTAAGCCAAGTGGTAAAATGAGAATGAAAAGGTCATTCTTTCCCTGCAGAGCTCCCACATTATTTCGGTTGGGGGTCCAAAATATTGCCCCTGGCTTACAGATCTCAGAGGGGATCTCACTGAGGCAAGAAGTGCAATCAATACCCATAAAAAAGAAGAGAAGCATAAAAAGTGCTCTGCACAGTTCCTTCTGATAGCAGTTAGGTCCATATCTCCATTCCTACTCATTCACTGTACAGCATTTCAGAAGAGACTTGCCAGGGGAGATTTGCCAAAAAGCCTTGTTGAAGCTGCTTACAAAACTATAGCATATCTGATGTCTGTCCTTTGGCAAAGCACATTGAGTGTGGCAGTATTTTCAGGTCACTCTCTATTAGTTGAAATGTACAGCATTGCTTCAATACTGGCAGTGTAGCTCACCCCTAAGAAAATAAGAAAACCCGACCATTCAAACAAATTGCTAGTTATATGGAAATGCAGCACTCTGTTCCCTGGAAAAGGGGGTTTACCAGGATTTGAAGTGTCTCCAAGTCCTGTTTTCTCCTTGCTTTATTGCTTTTTCCTGCACTGCAGGCTCCACTACTAGCTACTACGCTGTGGCTGTCGTGAAAAAGGGAACAGACTTCACAATAAATGAATTGAGAGGAAAGACCTCCTGCCACACAGGCCTGGGCAGATCTGCTGGCTGGAACATCCCAATTGGGATCCTCACCCACCGCGGGGACATTGAGTGGGATGGCAAAGACTCAGGCTCCATTGAGCAAGGTGAGGTGGGAGGGGCTGATCAGTGGTGGGAATCAAGCCAGGGGTGGTGTTACAGTGAACGGGATGTCATCCAATCTTCTGTGGGGGTCCAGAGGTGGCTCACAGGGCACTGACATTCCTTGTGCATTCCCTCCCTTCCCATCCTTCTAAAAGTGAATTTCTAACTCACTATTGCTCCTTTCTTACCCACAGCCGTGGCCAATTTTTTCTCTGCCAGCTGTGTTCCCGGTGTCACCACTGAACCCAAACTGTACCGTCAGTGCAAGGGGGACTCCAAAACCAAAATGTCCCGCACAGGACCTTATTCTGGATATTCTGGAGCTTTTCAGTGAGTGAAAGTTATTTGTCCTTTGGGGAAATATTCTAGCCCCAACACATGGAAGTTCTCATTAAAGCAGGGAGGGCTGTGCTGTAATCAGGGGTCCTGAGAAGACTGAATTATTTCTCTGTCATTACCAATTCTTCCCTGCCAGCATAGCTTTTTTTGGTAGAAGACTTCTTCTCTATGGCTGCAGTTTGTGCCAAAAATAATTTGCTGAAACAGGAGATAAAAAACTACAGTGTCTCTTTTTTTAAGTTCTCTTCTGTTCCTCCCCACTGCAGCTGTCTGAAAGAAGGAAAAGGAGAGGTGGCTTTTGTGAAACACACAACTGTTCAAGGTAAGCCTGCAAGATCTCTTTTTTCTCCTCTTTCTAGTCCAACCTCTTGCTACCACTCCATCCTGTAATTCGTCTCCACTGTGCAGCTTTCATTCCTCCCCATGTTAGCCCAAAACCTCTTCTTTTATCTCTTAAAACATGTTTTGCACATTCTGGACTAATCCGTCCTTGTTAATGAGCAACAGGATTATGGTGGGTCCACTTCTTCTTCTCTGAGGTTCTTCTTCGTAGATGGAAAACCTGTTTGGTGCCATATCTCAGAGCCAGCTGTAACGTGAGCAACTGAACTGGTCACCCATCCCTCCAGGAGGGATTTTGGAGGGAAGTCAACCCACAGCCAGAGTTCACTGACACTGTATTTCTTGGAGATGGAGGATGGCCTTGCATGTCCAAAACCTGCAGTGAGCTCAGTGGAGGGTCACCAAGGCTGTCATGGGGCAGGGACAACTACTCCGTGAGGAAATGCTCTGTGGGGGAAGCTTGGTCAGCCTAGGGACCAGACACAAGCGGAATTTTTTTCCCCTTGAGGACAAGGAAATAACGGGACAGGTTTCCCAGGAAAACTGCGCACTCTCCATCCTTGAAGGGTTTGAAGATCCACCGGGATCTGCCCCTGGTCTACCCCTGCCTTGAGCAGGGGCTTGGACCAGAGATCTTCAGAGGTCCCTTCCCACCTGAATTCTAATGTAACCTTGTGACATCAGTCCTGGGCTTTTTTTACAACCCATTAGTTACCTAATGGCCTTCACAGAACATGTGCAGCTCCTGATCTGTTCAATTCATTTGTATGGTTTTGTAAACCTGTTTGTATCCATTTGCACATAAATCCTCTTACTGTTGGGTTAGTCATGACAAAGGCAGAGATGATCTCTCCTCCCTAGACATTGCTTTTCTACAACCACCATGACCCCAGTCCCATTGCAACCCATCTCCTGCAAAGAAGTTTCCCCTGAGCTCCAGCAGAAACAAATTAATTACAAAGCTTCCCCAGACAGGTTTTTTTGTTTTTTTGTTCTATTTTCATGGTGATGCAACTTGTGGCTCCTCCATTCCTCCAGAAAATGCCCCAAATGAGAAGGAGGAGTACGAGCTTCTGTGTCTGGATGGCACCCGCCAGCCTGTGGACAACTACAAAGCCTGTCACTGGGCCAGGGTTCCTGCCCACGCTGTGGTGGCTCGAGATGACAACAAGGTCAATGACATCTGGAACTTCCTCTCCAAAGCACAGGTATCACTGAGCTCTCCTTTCCTTCCCACAGCATCCACTCTTCTGTCCTCTGGCTTTGATTGCTCTCTCCAGCTTTCCAAGAGTTTTGGTTACGGTCATTTGCTGATTATTTTTCCTCTGTGGCAGGAAAAATTTGGTGTGGGCACAACCAGCACCTTCCACCTCTTTGGGCCACCTGGCAAGAAGGACCCAGCCCTCAAAGACTTGCTTTTCAAAGACTCTGCAGTTCAGCTGAAGCAGATCCCATCGTTGATGGATGCCCAGCTCTACCTGGGCTTTGAGTATTACAGTGCCATCCAGAGCCTTCAGAAAGGTAGACAGGGCATGAAACACCAAAGTCATGTTAGTGTGTGGAAATGCTGGCATTGGCAAATATGTCTGGGCAAAAGGAACGTGATTTTTTCACACATAGATTTATCGTCTGCAAAATATTTCCCCTGTAATCACATAATATTCACAAACATCACTTGCAAAAGGAATTTGTTGAGTCCAAACCCAAAATAACATCATCACCACTCTGACAAAGACAGAAAATTTGCACACACTGCACACCACTTATTCAGTTGGTGGTAGCAATTGGGTGTGGTCAAAACTGCTCAGAAAAGCCATTGCTGGATGCAAAAAGAAGGAACATCCTGGGACACCAGCTTCAGCACTAGAACTCGAGGGAAACAGTGTCCTTTATTTCCACCAAACTCATCAAGCATTTACAGTGTCCATTTTTTCCACCAAACTCATCAAGCATTTACTGATGTCTTTCTGAAAGTCAAACATCCCACAAGTGATCTCCAAAGCCCACTTAGAATGTACAGTACAATTTAAAGTACTTCACTTCTGTGAAGCGGCATTTACGGACTTCACATAACATCAGAGCAGATTATTCAAAGGTTGTTCCACAGAAGCGTTACTAGGTTGTTATTTCCCAGCTCGGTCTGGTCTTAGTCTCGTGGTCATTGTCTGGGCTGTGAGGAGTGGAGAAATGTGAGATATATTATAGGCAGCAATACCAAGTATTATAATGCATGGGGGTTTAGTGGCCATGGTGTTTTAGCTAACAGAAATCTGCCTGAATGGCCTGTGTTATGTAGAAATTTGCCTTTCTGATCTGTAAGTTGATTTTTTATTATCCTTGAGCTTACAAATCACCCTTTCTACTCTATGCCAGCTAATTAAACAGGAACATCTTGCCCCGAGTAGCAGCGGGTCAGTGTGTATAGGCGGTTTCGTGGCTGAGTCCCACACACCCAGGAAGGGGCCCGTTTGCTTCGCAGGGCTCTGGGCTTATCCTGGCTTTCCCTTGGCTTTCCAGACCGCCTGACCCCCAGCCGCAGAGGGAACAAGACCCAGTGGTGTGCAATAGGCAGGGATGAGAAGAAGAAGTGTGATGTCTGGAGCGTGATGAGCAACGGGGAGGTGGAATGCATCGTGGCAGAAGACACCAAGGAATGCATCATGAAGATCATGGTATGGTGCTTTTTTTCCCCCTTTTCTTCTCACTGTGAACTTTCCAGCTGCTTCTTTAACAACCTGATCTCTGAGGAGCCCTGGCCTGGGGACACACAGTGTTCCATTACCATTGCAGAAAGGTGAAGCTGATGCCATCAGCCTGGACGGAGGCTTTGTCTACACTGCCGGCATGTGTGGTTTGGTGCCAGTGGTGGCAGAGAGCTATGAGGGTAAGCACAGCCCCTTCTGTCTCTCAGGGCCCAGGTGGTGGGGAATGGGTTGGTGCCAAAGTGCTAGGTTTATTCTGGAATCTAGAACACAGCCTCTGATCTGCATCCTGCAGAAAAAACATGAGGCAACTCTGCTCAGCGCTTGTCTCGTCTTTCCATTAGGTGGGGGGAGAGCAGGCATGAATGGTCGGGAACACGGCAACCTCCAACTCCTCTCTTCTTTGTTTTAATCCTGTTCACATCTTTCCCCTACCCTTTAGCACTGGTCTCAGTAAAACTAGTTGTTTTAACTCGGAGGAGCTGCTGGAGGCTGTGCTTTGTTCTTTTAATGCACAAGATGTTCCTGAAAAAGTCACTTCTAGAATGAAGTTTCTCTAGAAATTAGTGAGCTTGAACTTTTTTTGAGGTTTGAGATCTCTTTTCTTTTATATCTTCTTCTTTTCCTCTCCCACAGAGAACCACTGCAGCGAATCAGAAGAAGAACCAGGTAATTACTGCCAACAGGAGGACAAAAAACAGTCCTGAGATATATAAGTAGTAAAATATATGCAGTCATGAGTGGGGAACAAATGGCTCTCCACACAAAGAGCCATGGTGTCCAATGCAGATATTAAAATTTTGGGAAAGAGGTTTAACAGTCTGGGCCTGCAAGGAGGTACCAAGGCAAAGCAAAAAGTAACAGAAGAGATTTGTGTGGTCACACCACAGCAGTGTCAGGGCTTGAACAGGGAAAGAGGGCCTGGGTTGTAGCATTAGGGAATTAGTCTTTCTAGGAATGGGAAGGGGGAGAGGAGAGAAGGCTTTTGTCCTTTGCTAAGGAGAAAATAAGAAATCAGGAGGGGATAAGAAATCCTCAGGTATGTCTTGCTGCAGCCTTCTGATATACCCAAGTATCAGAGTTTTCAAGGGCAGGGAAATATCGGGGATAATAATTTCTCAGGAGCATGGTAGAAGTAGATGCATCACATCCACAAACACTTCCATTGTTGCTGCCTGGCCAATAATTTATAAGTGCAAAGTATTTCTGCTGCACTGTTCATAGATGCTCTTTCCCAAGAGAAGCCTCCTTAAGGATCACAGTGGGATCCTTGGGTCAGGCCTTCGTTCTCATCTACTTTATCCTCTGAAAGCAACCTACTTTGCTGTGGCTGTTGTGAAGAAATCTGACAGAGATATCACCTGGAACAACCTGCAGGGTAAGAAGTCATGCCACACCGCCGTGGGGAGAACCGCTGGCTGGAACATCCCAATGGGCCTGATTCACAACAGGACAGGGAACTGCAACTTCGGTGAGTCCAGTTTGGCACCCGTTTCTTCCAGCTGGGAATCTGCTCAAAAAAATGTTTTCCCTTCCTTCATCTGGTCTTCAAAGTTTCTCGTGCCTCAAGGATTCCCACTTGGAGGTGGGAAATGGAGAAGGCTCTGTTATTTAAGGTTTCACTGAGCAAAATTTTAGACTCTTGCTTCAGAGTAAGATACAGCACATCAGCTGCCTTGGGGGCCTTTGCTTTCTTTTCCCATCTCTCCCCTTCCCTTTGCAGCAACCCAACCAAGAGGTATTCTCAAGAATGGAATATGGGCTGCCCTGGTACTTGTGCATGTGTGGAGTCGGGTAAAGGATGAAACTCAGGAGGGAGGGGGAGGGCTGAGAATAGGGGAAGAAAGCTGATCTTCTTTCAAGACACTTAAAGGGACTGATCTGACTGCCTGAGAATTCACTGAGAATTATGGTCCAACAAAAATAATTTGGAAATATTATCGACTAAGGCAAAGTAAACAGAATTATTAAATAGAAATCTCTAACCAAAAGAAGATATTTGTGTTAATAAGTTTTATTCTCAGCCTCTCCATCCTCCTGCATGCCTTTCCCACTGTCCCTTGTCCCCCCAGAGCTCTGGGATTGCTGCCAAGTGCAGCTCTGCCGACCCAAAAAGGTTGTGCAGGCTTGGGCTGGCTCTGTGTGAGCTGGGAAAGATTTGCAGGAAAAACATTCTTCTTTTTACAGCAAGATAGTGCCAATTGCACTTAAGCCTTAGGCCCTGTTTCCTTGTAGAATCACAGAATCACAGAATGGCTTGGGTTGGAAGGGACCCTAAAGACCATCCAGTTCCACCCCCTGCCATGGGCAGGGACATCTTCCACTACCCCAGGTTGCTCCAAGCCCTGTCCAACCTGGCCTTGAACACTTTCAGGGATGAGGCAGCCACAGCTTCTCTGGGCAACAATACAAATAATTATCAATAATAACAAGACATAAGTTTCACAGCGAAAACTAGATGCATGTGATTTGCTGCCCACTGAGTCATGCTACTTCTCCCAGCCTATTTCCATCTCCCAGTAACCAGTGACAGAAACTCAGGCATTTAACTTAGGTTATTAAAACAAAATCTAACTTTCCAGTGCAGGACAAGTTAATTTTCCCTATTCCTGCCTTCAGATGAATACTTCAGCCAGGGCTGTGCTCCCGGATCTCCTCCCACCTCCCGCCTCTGCCAGCTTTGCAAGGGTTCGGGGGGGGTTCCACCGGAGAAGTGCGTTGCCAGCAGCCACGAGCAGTACTATGGATACACTGGAGCTTTACGGTGAGTGCTGGAAACACTCAGGCTGCCTCTGGCTAATCCCAGACATTATGGGTGGATCACAGCTGGAGCACAGCTTCATGTTGACACTAATTTGCTGACCTCCTCTTTTTCTCCATTCCATCACGACTGTAATATTATACATATGCGACATGTTTTGTCTTTGCTTCCTGAAAAATGGTGCAAAAATCTGTAAATTCTGTAAATGTCCTGATGCCCCAGGCAAACCGTGAGAGACACAAGACCTCCTACAATGGCAGCAGTGCTCCACTTTTAATATGAATAAGGAGTGTAAAATGCTTCAGATACCTTTAAAATACTCACAGCAGAGCTCCTAGACCTGGCTGTCCTCAGAGATTAATTGTACAAAATAAGACACAGGTCTAAATCAAATCTGTGGGAAAGGGCCAGGACTCAAGCACCCACATCACTGGCCTCTCTTTCTACTTCCCAGGTGCCTGGTGGAGCAGGGGGATGTGGCCTTTATTAAGCATTCTATCGTTGAGGAGAACACTGATGGTACGTGGTTATTGCACAGCTCATGACAGGGCTGCTTTCCCCTTCTGCCTTATTGCTCAGGTGTTGTGGGGCTGATGTTCTCCTACACAAGATCTCTGAATCTCCAAACCCTTTCTCTTTAAAGGCAAAAGTAAAGAAAGCTGGGCCAAAGATCTGAAAATGGACCAATTTGAGTTGCTGTGCACTGATGGGCAACGGGCAAATGTCATGGACTACAGGAGGTGCAACCTGGCCAAAGTTCCCACCCACGCTGTGGTGACACGCCCTGAAAAAGCAAGACAAGTCCGTGAGATGCTGGAGAAACAGGAGGTTTGTAGTGCTGGGAGTGGGAGAAATGCCCTGGGGTTGCCCTTATGCTCTGATTTTCCCCAAGTCAGAGTAACATGGAAGATTTTACCTGGTATGGGGAGACAGCCTGGTCCCTTATCCTTGCCCTTTCTCCATCGCTCCCAAACTGCTCTTTCTCCTTTGCCACCTTAGCAAATACACCTTTAGGGAACAGCTGGATGGACATAGTAGCTGCTGCTGTCACACTATACTTGTGTGACATGAGTTTATCGCCTCCTTTCCTCACTCTGCTCTTGCTGGTGAGTTTCAGAAACTTCTCTGGGGTGCCTGATCTTTGCCACAGCTTGGTCAGGTTCAGCCTCCACAGCAGCCCCCTGCACACATACAGTTCTCCAGCCACTGGGGCCAACATAAGTGGGTTAAACCATCTCTGTTTGATACTGCAAACATTATTATTTGCCCCATCCAGGCTCTGCTTGAGAGGCCCTTGGGAAGTCAGTTCCTTTTGCTCCCACCTCACAACTAAGGCATGGGACCTGCTGGCAGAACCTGCTGATGGGCTCTGGATGTTAAAATGGGGGAAAAAATGTGCCCACTAGTGACAGATCCCTTCTCTAAACACAGGGACAGAAAATACACTACTAAATTTCTGCAGCCTGGCTTGGGGTTCCCCGGGATGATGGTGAAGAACCAGAACCAAGAGTTAGGCTTGCATGAGCTTAATCTTGCCAGTTTTCTACTTCTCTCCTCTTTGTGCCTTTATTTCAGAGACTGTTTGGAGCAAAAGGAATCAAGAATAAGGATTTCAATATGTTTGCATATGAAACCAAGGATCTTCTGTTTAAAGACTTGACCAAGTGCCTGGTGAAGCTCCGTGATGGAATAACATACAAGGAGTTCCTCGGAGATCAATACTATGCTTCACTTGCCAGCCTCAACACCTGCAATCCATCAGGTAACAGCCCAAGGGGAATTCCCTGAATTGCAGTTCTTAGCTCCCAGGCACAGGCAGTTTCTTCTGGGACTGTCCATTTAATGCCTTTTAAGCAAAATGAGGATAACTCAGGAGGATGCTACTATGCTTTTCTCCAAGGCCCTTGGGTGAACTGAGAACAGACTTAAAATCTGCTACTCTGGCAGCAACGTGAATAAAAGATTTTTCCTCACCTTTAGAAAATGCACAGTTTGAGAAATGGCACAAAGAACCCACCTGGACCCATCAGTGCAGGCTCAGAGTGATCTGCCCTTTTTTTGGTGGCATACCATGAATTTCCAAGTGATGACATTGTTGGCATGGCTAGATGTGTGCTGCTGGGACCAGAGTGTTTAAAGGCAGTATCTGAACTTCTCCTCATCCTTTCTTTTTCCAGATCTTCTCCAGGTGTGCACCTTCCTTGAGGACAAATAGTGAGATGGGAAGGATTCCTCGCTGGAGGGGGAGAAAACCTCAATATATGACTCCTCTTGTGCCCTCAGCACCAAACACTGAGGGCCCTCTGCCTTCACTGCTTTCTCTGCCCTCCCTCATCACTCTGAAAGTGGCTCCTTGGGACTTTACAGTTCTCTGCTGCCATCACAGCAAAAAAATAAAATCTCAAATCTAAACAGGCATCCTGAGATTTTTTTAAATGGTCCTTAAACCCATTCCTTCCACAGCACCTCTTGCTGTAGGACAGATACCAATGTGTCACATCTGTTGCTGCCCATTAGAGAAATTTCTTTCAACATTTGCCAAAGCAAAATGGATTAAATATGTCTTAGAGCCCAAATAACAGTTGTTTTGTGCTCTCTTTTGTGCTTTCACTTTGCCCAGGTTATCCCATTATCTCCCCAGCAGATGACAGTTCCCTGGTGTGGCTGCAGCACAGGAAGAGGGAAAGTGTTTATGTCAGGGAAGCTGAAGGCTAGAGAATGGAAAAACAAACAAACAAACAAAACCAAACCACAAAATAATACAGTGCTTGTAAGATGGGAGGTGTGAATAGAACTACTCTGTCTCATATCTCAGCTGTCTGTGTCTGAGTCACTTCCACCTGGCAGGACTCTTAAAACATCTAAACGTATTGACAGGGACAGTGCAGGCTTAGGATTCCTTTCTGGAAAAAGTCTAGAACTTACTCAGAAACGTGTGTGTTTTGGAAGTCTGTTCGATGTGCTGCTGACATGAAAACAAACATGTAGGGTTCTTTATTCTGACTCTGATCCACGGTGAAAATAAAAACAGATCTGCTGAGGCTCTCTGCTTCAGAGGAGCAGTTTGGTGTCAACCAGCAGATTCCAGCCCTGTTGTCATGGCAGACACAGAGGAGCTGCTGAGGGAACAGAGATGCTGAGAGCTCCTGGCCTTGAGGGAATGAATATTTTGATGATTTCTGGATGCATATGGTATGTGTGGTGAGAAGTCCACCAGCCTGACTGAAGGTCCCCTTGGATGACAGAAACTTAGGGTGTGATGGGAAAGGGTGAAATGTAGTCCCTCACATTTATGTAGGATGAAGTACACTGGGCAAGTGGCTCTTTTAACCAGTTCTTCAAACGAGGAACTTTTAACTAGTTCTTCAAAACTCTAAGTTGCTTCTACAGCTCACTATGGCTGCACTTAGAAATAGATCCCTAAGAGAAGGGAAATCATTTGTGTTCTGTATCAAGTGTAATCCTTTGTCCCATAAGTAAAAGGCATGGATAAAAGGAACCTCAGTAGAGGATCCCTCAGGTGGAAAGGTACCTCTGGGGTTCTCCAGTCCGACCTCCTGCTCAAAGAAAGGAGTCAACCAGGTTGCTCAGGGCTTGACCTCCATAACTGTAGTAGTTTTCCATCTAGGTCTTCTCTGGTAACCAGGTTGTAACCAAGGAACCAAGGCCACGTTCCCAGTCTTCCATATGATTTTTACGTAAGCAAGGGTATAAAGAAGAAGGGAGCAGAAGCCCTCGTTCTTTTTCTTCCGGCTGACTGAAAGCAAAGGTTCTCTGCTGTCATTCTGCCCAGGTGAAGGAGTGAGGCCTAGTGCGCCTGGTTGGCCTTGAGAAGCGGATAGTGCTGGTGGTTGTTGGTGGGGTTCTCTGCTGTCTTGAGGAAAGTATCTGGTTTTGTCCCTTTTTCCCTTTTCCCCTTTTCCTTTTCTTTGTCCCCCTGTGCTGGCACTGCTGAGGCACCTCCAGGGCTGTGTCCAGTTCTGGGCCCCTCAGCTCAGGAATGACATTGAGGAGCGTGTCCAGAGAAGGGAATGGAGCTGGGGAAGGGACTGG